ATTCTCGGCTTGTGAAGAAAATGAACTTTCGGCAGGTTGTATATAAATCAATTCCTGAGGTCACGGGAGAGTATATTATTTAAAGCGAATACTCACACTCTTTGATTTATTATTCCCTCTCTCCACCCGACATTACGCAGACCTTTGTTTATTGGGTTTGCTTAATGTAGGGTAGAGCTCTGCCCCGGAGTGTTTCTGGCCCCTCGGATCCAGAGACGGAGCGGAGGGCAGTGTGCAGACGCCACAGCCCTCCTGGTGAACCCTAAATTCTGCTCCTGAGAGACTTCTGGCAGTGCCTAAGGGTCAGGCTTCTAAGGCATTCTTAGAAAACCAGTACTTTCTTCTCATGAAGCATTGCGATTGAAATTTAAAGAAACAAATCTTTCACGTCCATGGCTTTTCTTTAGAGGACTTAGAATCAATCACTGTAAACTTAAAAATCACCATACACACGAACGCTTACACTTCTGGGGACAAGTGTGCGTATGGTACACGCAGATCACATGAAGTCCCCGAAGTTAGTAACCGTTCACCTGGAAACCCCTGGAAAATCACTCTTCCCGAAGCCCATGTGTGGATCGGCCAGCCAAGCACCGAAACGCTTTCCTGCAGCTGAGTAAACAGTCTGCAGCTCACACGCGGAGCCCAAGGCCACAGGATGGTGGGTCTGTGTCCCCATGGGACATACCGCTGCCACATCCGTGTGCGTCGCCCGTGGAGAGAGAGGCCGTGACCAGGCCCAGAGGTCTCCCCTCCTGGTGAAGAGTTTCAGGGTCTGATTTCATGGTAGCCGGGTAGTTATATATTGATGAAGTGGATCTGGGGACGGGAGTGCTCGGGAAGGAAGGTGTATTTTCGATGAAAGATCCCGTGTCTCTGGAACTGGACCCAGCAGCCTGTGGGTGCCGACACGCCAGGCATGTGTTCCCCAGTAGGCGCCGGAGTGCTCAGAACGTGCCCGACGTCGAACCTTCTGTGGCTGACAGGTCCCCTCGAGGGAGAAGAGCCACGTCACCGCCCTGGAGGCAGGGCACGCAGGTCTCGTACTTCTTTCTGACGAATTTATGACAATGGTTAACGCTCATTGAGGGTTTACTATGTGCGAGGCACCAGGCTGCTTATTTTATATGATCCCATTTAATCTTACCTACAGGATAAATATTATCATTTCCATTTTATTGTGAGGACAGAGGGCTACAGGAAGGTCAAGTCCGGCTCGCAGGGCCATAAAGTTACGAGGTGGTGAGGCTTCGTACCTGCAGAGCACGTGTTCCGGCTGCCCACCCGTTTCCCGAAAGCCAACCTGTGTTCTTGGTCGTTTGGGCGGTGTTTTGGGTAACGGTGTAGTTTCATTGTATCTTGCTCTTCTCTTTCCAGAAATTAAGCATATTTCATATGACTAGTTCCTGTGTGGTGGATATGGTAGTAGACTCTCATATTTCACTATACACATTAGAAGTCTATAAAACAAGGGTATTATAATGGTTACGTTTGTCTGGAAATTTGCTGATACAGCTATACGAGCTGTCTATAAATCAGTCTGTCGTCAGAGGGGTGTGCTTTTAAAGCAAATAATCACTGGCTTATCCACCCTACCCTGCCATGTTCGTTTAAATGGAAGTGCTTTTTTTTTTTAAAGCCAGAATTTTGATGTTTTGCCACAGACTGTTTGCAGCAATAATAAAAGTTTTTCCTGACTGTCATAACCTCAGCCCAAATGCATTTTGTTTTGAGTTCTTCATCCCTTAAAAATGAAGCTATAAAGGTAAGATTAGTGTTCCCAATTCTGCTTGGCGCTGTGATTCACGTGGTAATTATTTAATATTATCCATATTTATATTTATATATGTTTATATGTTAATATTATTCATGTTCATTCACAGCACTGAATACATGGGAATTATTTAATAAGCATTATGAATGGGTTTTAGTAGAATTATAAATTGCTCAATTAAGCCAGTGGGGGATTTACTAATCTGTATGTCATAAAGACAACACTATTTTTTCTTGAGAAGTTGTTCTTTATTGTCTGGAGTTCATTTTAGTCACTTAGCATTTTATTTTAAAGGCATTTGTGTGGCCACTAACTTTTTTCATCAGTTACACTTATTTTTACATAACTGTAGACTCAACATGCAGTTTGCAAGAAATGGTGGAGATTTCCCATGTACTCATTCTTCCCCGCTGATAACATCTTGTGAAGCCATAGTTCAATATCACACCCAGGATATTGACCTTGGTACACTCAAGGTACAGAACAGCCCCATCACCACAGGATCCTTCCCGTGGCCCTTTTACAGCCATACCTACTCCCTCTCTTCCCATCTCACCCCCTCCTTAACCCGTGGTGGCCACTAAGTGTTCTCCATATTTACCATATTGTCATTTCAAGACTGTTCTGTGAATGTGATCATAGAGCATGTAGTCTTTGGAGAGTGGCTGCTTTCAGTCAGCATAACTGTGTGGAGAACCATCCAGGGGTTGTGTGAATCAGTAGCCTGTTCCTTTTGATTGCCCGGTAGTGTTCCATGCTGTGAGTGTAGTGCCGTGTAGCTGTTCACCTGTTGAAGGGCATCTGGGTTGTTTCCAGTTCTCAGCTGCTCTGCATAAAGCTTCTATAAACGTTCACGTACAGACTTTTTGTGAACGTAACTTTGTTCCTCTGGGATATGTGTCCGGGAGTGCAGTTGGAGGCCTATGCTAGTGGTGTGTTCGTTTTTAAAGAAACTGCCAAACCGGTTTCCAAAATCTGTACATCTCACACTCCTGCCAGCCGTGTACGCGTAATCAAGTCTCTCTGCGTCCGCACCAGCCTTTGGTATTGTCGCCATTTTGTTAAAGCTATCTTTGTAGGTGTAGGGTGATACCTTCATCGTAGCCTTGGTTTGCATTTCCCAGATAAGGGATGTGGAACATCTTTCACGTGGTCACTGGCCAGCTGTGTGTCCTCTTTGGTGAAATGTCTTTCTGTATCTTTTGCTCATGTTCTAATTGGATTCCCTGTTTACTTTTTCTTTTACTTTTGAGTCGCGAGACTTTTTATATTCTTTTAGGTACTAGTCCTTTGTCAGATACATGCTCTGGAAACATGTTCTCTCTCTAACCTGTCTTTGGGCCTCTCAACAGGGTCTTCAAATTTTTTGATTGTGACAGAGTGCTTTTTCAGCCTTTCCTTTCACGAGCTATGCTTTCGGCGTCAAGTGTGAGAACTCTTTCCTTGGCCGTCAGTTCCAAAGATTTTCTCCTGGGTTTTTTCCTAAAAGTGTTGTACTTTTACATTTTATATGTACGTCCATTATCCATTTTGAGCTAATTTGTGTATAAGGAATGAGACTTGGGTCAAGGTACCTTTTTCTCTTCTGGATTCCCCATTGCTCCAGTGCCACACATTGAAAGGCTCTTATTTCTTTCATTGAATTGCTTTTGTGCTTTTGTCAAAAACCAGTTGGGCATAGTCGGTGAGGGCCTGCTTCTGGGTTCTTCATTCTGTGCCGTTGGCCTGTGTGTCTGCCCTGCCAGAACCACACAGCCTTGATTACTGTAGCTGTATAATAAGTCCTGAAATTAGACAGACTGATTGCTCCCTCTTTCTTCTTTGGTAAAAAAATATATATTTTTGCTATTCTAGGTCCTTTGTCTCTCTGGATGAATTTCAGGATAATCTTGTCTGTGAATCTAAAAAGTTTGGTTGGGATTTAGGTAGGAATTTTGTTAAGCTTATATATCAGTTTGGGGAGAATTGACGTGTTTACAGTGTTTGAACCTTGCAGTTTAGGATCATGGTCTGTCTCTCCGTTTATGTTGATCTGCTTTGGTTTCTTTCATCCACATTATGTAGTTTTCGGTATATAGGTTCCGTACATATTCGGTAAGATTTACACCTATGTATTTCTCTTTTTTGTTTATGTATACAATTCCAAATGACACTGTATTTTTAATTTCAGCATTCATGTGATGTCAGTATATATAGAATTGATTTTTGTATACTTATCTTGTATCCTGCAACCTTGCCTAACTGTTACCAGTTCTGTGAGTTTTACCTTTTGTTTCTACTCATGTTTATTCAACAGTCTCTGTGTGCCAGGCATTATGTTAAGGCTTTCCATGTGCTTGTCAACGTCCCGTAGATAGTAGAGCCAGAACCTTGACAAGCAGGTTTTTTAGTCACTTCATATGTCAGTTTGACAGGCATATAAGGAGAACCTAAATGGGCCACAGGGTCCCTGACCTCCTGGATTCTGCAGTCTGAAACAGGCATTAGAAGTCACACAGATGGTTATATGATAAAAACAAGTTAGTTAATTAAAGTTTGATTAACAGCATTTGACTCCTCCCGTAGGTGGGTAAAGCAGTGACACCTTAGCCCCATGGAGCGCGAACCTGCAGGGAGTGCTTCCTACAGAGTCTCTGATATCCTGGGGATGGTTTTCCAAGAAGCCAAACTATTCATTGGTTCTTGTCAACTTAATCGATTTTTGAAATTCAGAGATGTCTGTGAGAAAAGCTCATATGTAGAGAATTATAAACGGTTGTCAAAGAGCCCAACAGCGCCTGCGCAAAGACGGAATGAAGTTTTCCAGTTGCCGCTGTCTCCTTCCCTCCTTTGTCTGCTCACTCCATTCAAGGAGTGAGCTGCAGGGGCAGAGCGCCTTTCTGCCAGTCTGTCTGGAAAAATCGTCAGTGCCCCAAGCTTTGATAACAGTAACTACAGTAAGCTTCTGGTCAGTTGGGGAATAAATCTTACTTTATAGAAAGTTAGCCCTCAGACAGTCTTCTGGGTCAAGACCCCTCTACCTATGAGAAGGGAAGGTGGGACCCTCGGCGGGCACAGTGTACGCGTTGCCACAGCTCGGGGCTGCGGCTGGCCCGTGGGTCATGCTCGCAGGAGTGAGTAGTGGGTCCCGAGCGGGAACTGTCCCCACTCCCGTGTCTTTCCGCCCTCGGCAGGCCCCCAGGAATGAGGATGTTTCCTTCTCTCCCCGTTCTGCCCACTGACACAGGAGAAGTTGCTTGTCTCCGAGTCAGCGTGGAAGAAGGAGAAGGACATGGTCTCCACGGAGATAGAGAAGCTGCGCGTGTCCATCCAGACCCTGTGCAAGAGCGCGCTTCCCCTGGGGAAGGTCATGGACTACATCCAGGAGGACGTGGACGCCATGCAGAATGAGCTGCAGCTGTGGCGCAGTGAGAGCAAGCGGCACGCCGAGGCCCTGCAGCAGGAGCGGAGGTCGGCGGGGGGCCCCGCATCTGCCCGGGGCCGGGGGCATCTCCCAGGGAACCACCACCCTCCCCGAAGGCCATGTTTTACTTCTGCATTCATATCCCAGCATGCACTTCCTTGTAGCCATTAGGAAAGAGCTGGAGTTAAGTGTCACAGGTGAATAGACGCAGGCAGGAAAAAATACGGGCAACTCTGCAGGATGGGTGGGGTGTGTGTGTGTGTCTTGCCAATGCTCCCCCCCCCAATTTTGTAACTGTAGTTTGAAAGTGTTTTAATTCTTTACTCCAAAAGAAACATAGGTGAATCCGTTTTGAAGTTGCTACTGTGAAGGAAGTATAACCGCTAAAAAGATTTATTTTAGGGAAATGTGTGATGTTCTGTATTTATAATCATTCCAGCATGAAACTATATCAATTGTTAATGTTTTTGTTCAGAAAAGTATCTGATTGGACTCAGCGATGTATCTATAAGCCCATATGATAAGAGCTGTGTTATAAGGAAGCTGTACTCTTTACCAGTCTGCTTATTCTTAAAAAGTGCCCTAAGATTTTAAATTACAACATGATAGGAGTTAGGGAGTCTCTGGGAACTTTCTGGTGCTGGGTCCAGCATGGTAATTTGTTAGCACTTCTTACGTTTAATTGGCGTCCTGAAAAGTAGCACCAGATATCTCTTCCTTCCAAAAACTGATGTTGCTTTACGGCAGGATGGCTGGACACCACCCCTCTTTGTATTTACTCTGTATTTATATGCTTAAAAAAAACTAAAGGGAAAGGCTGATTTGACCTCTGCTTTTCCAAGGGCGTTCTAGACTTTTCCTGGCATGTAACTCAGGACTTGAACAAGTGAGTCCGGCAGGTGGTGGTGGGGGGTTCTGAGGGGAAGCACTTGAAGCTGGGTGAGCCCACCCCAGAGGAAGGTGAGGGGCATGGAGGGCTGCCCGGGGCGGCCATCTCGGTGGCCGTGCCCTCCCCAGGGCTCTGTGCAACGTATGTAGTTTAAGGACCTTACAAACATTAGGCTCCTTTGTGTAATCTCGTGTTGGACTTCATTTTGGTCGTGGTGAGGCTATGAGACCCGTTTTTTTCCCAGGCGTGAGGCTTTCGTCCCTTCACGTCATTACCGGAGCGCGTTTATACCCTTAGCCCTTTGCTCCAGACGCCGTGACTCCCTTATGCTTGCCTCCCTGCGTCACGGAGCCGCGGTGGCACTCACGAGCCTGTGTTGTCCCGCCAGCATCACGGACTGTGCGGTGGAGCCCCTGAAGGCCGAGCTGGCGGAGCTGGAGCAGCTGATCAGAGACCAGCAGGACAAGATCTGCTCCGCGAAGGCCAGCGTCCTGAGGAACGAGGAGAAGATCCGGAAAATGGTGCACAGCATCACTTTGGGTTCCAGAAGGTGAGCGCTCCGATGCCTCAAAGCCGGCCGGCCGCCTCGGCCTGAGAATAAAAAGGAAGAGAGCACCTCACTCCTCTCTAAGTTCAGTTCCCTGAGAAAATGAAGTTTTCGGTGTCTTCCGACCGAAGCGAGGCACGGTTCCGGGTGGAAGGGCCATGTTCTCATACCTTCCTCCCGCCGGCGTTTCTCCGTGTGTCTGCGGCGGCCTGCGGGCTCAGCTCTGGGCCAGAATCCTCCCGCAGGTGAGGGGCGCTGGTGCGCCAAGGGGGGCCGGCGCCCCCGCTCCCGGGTTTCGGGTGTCGAGTGGGGCTCCGAGGGGAGGGTGACTGCCCTTCGACCGGCACTTACACGCGCAACGGGGTCCGAAATGAGCACAGGGGTCATTTCAGCCTGTATCTCTAGAAGGCATGCGGGAGGCTCTTAAGCCTCTTTCCCACGGCCCCGCTACCTTATGTCATTCTCTCACGGGCCCTGTTGCCTCTCGCTTGAGTGTTTCCAGCCTTAAAGTTCAGAAATGTGAGGTTTCAGTGTGTCCTTGGCGGACATCTGGGCCCCGGGCTCTCCCCACGTGGGTGGCAGTGAGCCCCGTGGGGCCCTCCCTCTTCTGCGCGTGGCTGTGCGTTCCAGGGAGGCAGGAAGACTTCGAGGGACGCACCAATTGACACCATTTGTTTTATGTTACCGTTTCTTTTGGAAATTGTTTTTTAAAGCAAGGTTTTTTTAAAAAACATAGTTTATATTGAGTTTTTCACATGCAATATTATAAATACTTATGAAAGTCTCGAGTTTGTATGTAAAGGGTTCCACTGGTTAGAGACCTGCAGGTCTTAAGTTCAGGGTCCTGAGACTGTTATTTCTAGATATTTCTTGTGTGAACCGCGCAGTGCCATTTACACGTTAGAATTGCCCGAGACAGTTCTGCTTCTTTAAGGATTAGCACAAATGGCATGGGGTGGGTTTTCTTACTGTAATTTCCAAAATACATCCATTTCTAAGGTAGTTACACGATCTTCCAAGCTGAAGAAGTTTGGCATCATGTTATTAAGTTCTGCCTTTTGACACATGGGCCATCTCCCCGTTTCCACTGCGCACCATTAAATTGTGCGATTAGATTGCGCTGAACACATTATTGGAGGCGGCCGGCCAGCCAGTTACCTGCCCGTCATACACGTCTCTTTCCTACTGAGACTTTAGCCACCACCCTGAAGGGACTGTTTTGCTTCAAGATGTCTGCCTTTTATGAATTTGTATATCTGAATAGAATTTTTGTGTTGCAGAAAAAAAAAATTGCATACATTTTATGTGAGTCAAATTTTGTATGAAGTAGTTTATCAAACTGTATCATAAAATTTATTTTTGTTTTATACATAAATCATTAAAAACAATCACATATTTTTTCTAGAAGTGTCTGGGTTGTGCAATTCAGTTCACACCTGGAAAAAACATGTATAAGCACTTGGGAGTTTTTTTATTTTCACCTGTGTAATACTTGTTTTTCTGGTGAACAAATTTCAGGGAAATTTACCTTTTCATTCATATTGTGACCCTTCCCCCTCTTCTGTGTAAATTGAAGCTTTATAAGCCAGGTAAGCATTTGTCAGAAACTTGAGGATCATTCCTGAAGTTGTAGAAAGACTCTCTGCACGTGATTATGACTGTATCTTATCACGGGCACATTGAATCCTCAGCTTATTTATAACTTTGAGAAAATACACAAAAGGGATGATTAAGTGTCTTCCTCTGCTTTGGCTGACATTTCCAGGAAGTACTGAAGTCACTGCAGGAATTTTAATTTAAAAGTTGAGCTGACACTAATTTATATTCAAAGAAAGTACATAAAACTTCGGAAAAAATAATTCAGGACTAAAATCTGAGCGTTCTACTGTGATATTCGTGCTTATTTTTCTTTTCAATAAGAAAAAAATTTCAACTTAAAAAAATAACGACTGAAATCCGGGAAGAGGGATGATGTCATTGAGCGTCGCGGAGTGCCGTGTAGGATTCCGGGTGGTCTGGGACTGCATTCCGCCGACAGCGCCCGTGAAGTGCACTTGGACTTGTTTGCCAAGGGGCACGCAGCTCTCGGAGACGCATCCTCCGGCCACGCGGGGTGTCAGGGCCCGGAGCGTCGGGACCGGCTCCTGAATGAACGGGGAGAGGGCACGGGTCACATCCTCGGGCCACGCGGGGTGTCAAGGCCCGGAGCGTCGGGACTGGCTCCTGAATGAACGGGGAGAGGGCACGGGTCAGAGACCTCGGATGACCAGAAGCCGCAAGAATCCGCCCAAGCGAGGCCGCGCACGAGACCGGGTGTTTGGCCGGTCCCGCCGCTGGGGAAGTCTGTCCGCACAGAGCGGGACTCGGAGCCCAGCTCCGGAACCTTCCACCGGTACCGGCCATGCAGGGAGCGGCTCACGTCGGTGGGGGCGCCTCCTCTGCGCGGGCTTCCGCGCCGTCCGCCCAGCAGAGGGCGCGGGTGAGACCGGGAGTCGCGAGGCCCCCTAGCGGCCGAGGCCGGCGCCCGTCTCCCGCGCGGTGAGCCCGGCCCAGCTCCTGGGCTCCGCCTTAGCTGTCCTGTGATGTGCTTTATGAATAAAAAGCTTTTATATTTTTCTAGGTGTTTTGGGAAGTACAGTTTGCACAGCCGTACAGGAGTGCAGAGCCAGGCCCCACAACAGCCCCCATTTTGCTCATTACCAGTGTTTTCATAAAGGGGGATTGGGAAGGACATTTTTTTTAACTTTTTTTTTTTTTTTTTGCAAGACGAGAGAGAGTGTGAGCAGGGCAGGGACAGAGAGAGAGGGAGACAGAACCTGAAGCCGCTCCAGGCTCCAAGCCGTCAGCACAGGGCTTGGACGTGGGGCTCCAACTCATGAATGAGCTGCAAGGTCATGACCTGAGACCAAAGGACGCTTCACCGGCTGAGCCCCCAGGTGCCCCAGGGAAGGACGTTTCTTTAATTCAGCTAGAGAAAAGAAATTTAAATGGTTTTGAAACTATAAAAATTTTTAAGCGCATATTTAGAGCTGAGTTCCGAACTGATGGCTTCTTAAACCAAGCAAGGAGATCTTTCTAGTAAGAAACTGGGGCTCAGAAAGTGAAGTCCATAAACTACACGGAGGCTATGCCTGCTTAGCCAGGGAGGGATCTGGGCTTTGTAAACCAGTGGGATCAAAACCCACACTGCCCTCCCCGGGCCAGAGCCCCCAGTGCGGCGCCCTCGCCCACGGCCCCCTGTCGCCAGCCAGGCAGGGCACTCAGGGCACGGCCTCCTGCACCGTCAGGCACCTTCACGGCGTCTGCTCTGCCCTTCAGGGTGCTCGCAAGCCGCCCACTCGGGTCTCAGAGAAAGCCTTTCAATGCTGCCATCGCCACGACCGTAACGAGTCAGATGGCACTTAAGTTTGCCCTCCAGAGCCTTCGTCAAAGCCGGTGCATGGCTGGTCACTAACAGCTAGTGTGTGCGGGGCTCCCTTCCCGGTGGACGCGAGTGTGGACGCAGGTGCTTACCGTCCCTCCTGTACTTGCGGGGTGCTGCTGCTCCCCTGGGGGTGGGCCCTGCCCTGACGGGCTCTGGCTTTTCTCCAGCGTCCCCCCCCTGGTAAGGACCACGTGGCGTGCGTGGTGGTGTGTGGCCGTCGGGTCATCAAGGGCGCTGCAGTCAGTGGAGCTGTGTGGCCGGATCGGGGCTGTGCTGTGTCGACCTCGACCCCACTTCACTGTGGACAGATGCGGGGATGGGTCTGAATTCATCACTGGTGGAAGGATCTTGCCAAAGAGGCTCTGTGAGTGGTGTTGCCCTGAAGGGAATTGCCAGCTGGCCTGCCTCGTGGACATCGTCTCCAGCCACCGTCCGGAGGAAGCTGTGACGGTGGGGGGGGGGGTGACTCTCGCCTGGCTTGAGTGTGTGGGCAGGACCCACACACTGGAGAACTGACTCAGCACGTGGAATAGGAAACGGGCCGGCCCTCACTCGGTGAAAGATGGCGGGGAGAGTCAGGACGTGACGGGGGTGCGTGGCCTCGGTGGGAGCACCGTGGAGACCCCCGTGTTCTCTGGTGAGGCCGGGCTCTGCCACCTGGGGAGGCGACGGAGGAGCTGAGGCCCGGCTGGCCCAGGGCCACCGGCTGCCGGTTGAGGTTCCATCGATTCCCTGCAGGACACCCTGTGACTGTGAGGTGGGAAAATGATTTTTTAATATTTGTAAATGTATTTTATTTTATTTTTAAAGTATTTATTTTGATGGGCCCCTGGGTGGCTTAGTCGGTTGAGCTCTGCTTTTGGCTCGGGTCATGGTCTCATGGTTTGTGAGTTTGAGCCCCGCGTTGGGCTCTGTGCTGACAGCTCAGAGCCTGGAGCTGCTTCAGATTCTGTGTCTCCCTCTCTCTCTGCCCCTCCCCTGCTCATGCTCTGTCTCTGTCTCTCAAAAATGAGTAAACATTTAAAAAAGGATAAAAACAACATGTACTCTATCATGGAGACTTCACCGGCCGGTCCCTGGAGAGCCTCATTCTCTGCAGGCCTCGAAGAACGTCCCGCGGCAGTGCCTGGCTCCCCGGCCCGGCTCCCTGCTCATCTCCCAGTCCCTGGCCATGGAGAACAGCGCCACAGTGCCGAGCCTTGTGCGCCCACCCAGAAGCGAGGCCACCGGGTCCCTGGGGAGGGGTGGTGCCCCTCCCCTGCTTGCTCTCTCTCTCTCTCTCTCTTTCAAAAATAAATAAACATTTAAAAAGATTTTTTAAATAGTTCTATTTTGGGACACCTGAGTAGCTCAGCTGATTAAGTGTCAGACTCTTGATTTTGGCTCAGGTCATGATCCCAGGGTCTAGCCAAGCAAAAGGAAAAAGCAGATGGCACGCTGGTGAAAATATTTGCGACATCTCTAACAGAGTTGATATTCATAACAGACAAAGACTTTAATTAATAAGGAAAATACTTATGGCCCAACTGAATGATGGAAGAAAGACAGACTCAATTCACAGAAGATCCGATGACGAAGAAGTGTGTGAGACCGACGTCGAACCTTCCTCTCAAGAAATAACGCAGCCAGGAGTCTGGAGTCCAGATAGGGCAGAGTTGGGCTGGAGCCCCAGGGCCTGCGCTCGGCCTGCGGAGGCTCCCTTCCTAGCTCATGACTTTGGCAGGTGGTCTTAACTTCTTACCTCACTTTCCCCTGTACTGGGGTTAATCCACATGGCACCTGGTTTGGGGGTTATTGTCAGAGGATCAGTGCACTGCCGGTTATGAAGTACAGAGATCAGTCAGTGGCACGCAGGCCGCTCCACGCGGGTTTTGGGTCTCCTTCATGACCCGTGTTAGTTTCACACGGCACAACGTTCACCTGGTAAAAATCAAAAAGACCAATAATACACGGTGTGGTTGAGAATGGAGTGGTGTAAATTGTTCAGTATTTTTAAAGGGTGTTTTGGAAGTACGTCTGAAAATTAAAAATGGGAAATATTTTTCTGGCCCAGGAGAAGGCTGAAGCAGACACATGACCACCACATACTGTTTAGCTCAAAGATGGTGTGGCTGTTCCAGATAGATAGTGAGCTCCCCATCACAGGAGGTGTGCAAGCAGAAGTGGTGGACCACTTCTCAGGGGTGCTGTTGAGGTTTCCACTGGATGCTCCTGCAGCTGCTTCCCAGCCTTGCCCAACCCCAGTGAGACCAGCCCTCCATCGCCGTCTCCACCCCAGCCCCTCACTGCCCTGTCTGCTGACTTGCAACACGCCACGTCCCTCGTGTACAAAGGCTAGAGCTTCGGGCCTCAGGGGAGATGATCTTCGGGAGCCCCTGGAGGCTGAGCCGGGCTGTGGTTACCCCCCCCCCACGCCCCCGTCACCGCTCGGAGTTTGCCTGGAGAGGCCCGTCTGGCCGCTGGTGCCCTCCTCCAGCCGGGAACTTCTATCACCTCTGCTGCCCGGAAACCCGCCTGCGTCATGGCCCTGGGGCACCGGGGGAGCACTGCCGGCAGCTCTGGGGGGAGGAGCCTCTCGGAACAGGTACTGACTGGGACACGCGCCCTTGCCAGTGTTCCTGCGTCACCTTCAAGCAGCCTGGTTGAGGTCCTTCCGGGGTTTTCCAAAATTGTCATTTACACCTGGGCGAAGCTGTCTTCTGCGATCACACGCCTGGCGCGGGCTGGGCGCCTGAGCTGGGTGCAGTCACCCTGGGCTTTGAACCTCAGCCAGGGCTTGGGATCCCGGCAGGGAAGTCCTCCCTCTCCCGGTATGTTGGGGCGGCGGGGAAAAAGAGCTCCTGCTCCTGGAAATTGTTTACAAGGATGCTTTGCTCCCACTTTCTCACGTGAGTGTCTCCAGGGTGAGGAGTCAGCCCTTCTACCCATTTTACAGGTGAGAAAACCAAGGCTGCAGGCGCACGTTACAGGCCTCCACCAGCTCAAATCCCAGGCACTTTGGGGGTAAGTGGGCCGGGGCTGAGCTGCACAGCGGGGGGTGGCCCCGGGGGGGCCCAGGGGGCAGCTCCGGAGGGTGGTGCTGGCGGTGGGGCTGCTGTGTCCCATCATCCGAGCACAACGCTAAGAAAGCCCCTGCTCTGAGGGACCCCAGCGCGCTGCCCGGGACCCGGCTGTGCTCCAACCACACCCAGGCCAGACCCACAGCCACCTGTTGCCGCAGCCCCTAAATCTGGGCGAGTCCGTGGGGGCCCCTGGTACCTTAGGGACCCGTGAAGGTGTTTTAATTTCTTTTATAATCAGGACAAAAGGGACTTTTAGGTCAGCGTAGATGTTTTAACACATACCGTTAACATATTCATCTTTACATCAACACAAGTGTAAAATGTGGTTCTTAGTGTGCTGTGCGGAGGAAGGGCCCACGAAGACACAGTGCCCGCAGCCTGCGTGCGCACCGGGTCGAACCCGTCCCCGCGGCTGCGCCTGCCCCGGGCTGAGCTCCCTGCGCTCTCCCCGCGGCCTTTCCCCTTCAGGGGTTACGGGCCCGAAGGAAACAGTACAAACGCAGGATGCTTTTAAAAACAGAAGGTTCAAAAACCCCCTCTTACAGCCCAGGTTTTTAGCGTCCGGCTTGTTGGGACGGTTGTGAGATCAGGACCTTGGCCATGGGCCCGGCTCTCGCAGCCCGGGTGCCCCAACCCGCTGTCCCCCCACCGCCCGTCGCCAGGGCGCCCCGGTGCCCCAGCCAGAGCGGCCGCCCGACCCCGCCGGGCTTGTGCCGCAGGCTCGGCTCGTGTCCTGCAGGACCGCACCCGCACTTCCGCGTCTCCCCCGTTCGCCACCTGCCCAAACAGCCGTGCGTGCTGCCCGCCGTCTTGGCCCCTCGGCAGCGGAATGAGGAACGAAGGTCGCAGCCTGTAAAGAGCAAGGTGGTCTCTGGGGGCTGAGGCGGACCACGTGCGGCGCCGCTCCCCCTCCCTCCCCTCTGCGGGGGCCCCTCTCCGGCCGCCGGGCTGCCTGGCGCACCCAGACGCTGGCCCCTGATGGCCTGAGCGCTGGAGCCGCCTGCACCCACGAGTGTCACACTTCCGGGCCTTGTGCGTGGCTTCATAGTAAAGAATTGTTTTAATGTTTATTTTTTACACGTTTCTTTTTGAGAGAGACAGACAGACGGCAAGCAGGGGAGGGACACAGAAGCCGAAGCCGCTCCAGGCTCTGAGCTGTCAGCGCAGGGCCCGACGCGGGGCTCGAACCCCGCATCAGGAGAGCACGGCCTGGGCTGAAGCCGGACACTTAGCCGACTGAGCCCCCCAGGCGCCCGCGAGACCTCGGCGTAAAAGCAGAGGTGGTCAGTGCGAGAGTCACCACTCACCTATCTTTCCGTGCCCCCGAGCTGACTTCCGTCCGGACCCCCTGTCCCCGACCGTTGCTTCGCTCCCTCCAGCCGGGCCGGGAGTCGTGGCAGCTCGGAAGCTGGCGAACGTGACAGAGTGACACCGACGACAACACACGCTAACTTAGACGCGTGCGCCGTCTGTACCCGTTACGCTGACGAGGGCAAAAGACAACGTGAGGAGATTCCTTGCAGGATTCAAAAGCCACCCTCGGCCCCGCAGAGCGCGCACTCCTGTCACGTGGGGGCGATGTCGGCGGGGGGCTTCGTGTTTACTGCACTACCGCTCGGGAAACGCGTGAAAACAGTGACTGACAGTCACGTCGGGACCCCCTCTGCGAATCGCGGCCGAAGCGGGCACAGGAGTTCCGCAAACATCAACCTCTTCTACGATTAGGATTGTCTGGATGGAGTTGGAGTAACGACTTCTCTGTATTGTTTCCAAATTGTGTGCTGTGCATCTTTGATTCGCCGATGTTTTTAAAAAATAAATGCATTCTATCCCTGTTAATATGTATAATTCACCTCCCCCCCCACCCCCCGCCGCCGACCGGGGAGGAGACAGTCTCAGGTTTGTCCTCTGAAGGGGATTTGGGGCGGGAGGGTCTCCTTGTGCGGTGGCCTCCCCCCTGCCGGCCCCTCCCCCCGCCGGCCCCTCCCCCCGCCGGCCTCCCCCCCGCCGGCCCCACCCCCCGCCGGCCCCTCCCCCC